CGCCGGCCTGCAGGTTCCACAAGCTGGAGAAGTGGCGGCGGCCTTTCTTCCGCGTGCTGCAGGTCTACCCGAACGCATCGGTGCTGCTGCCGGCTTTCTACAACACGCGCAACACCGACGTGTCCATCCGCGTCAAGTACGTGCTGGACGACTTCGAGTCGCCGCAGGCTGTCTACTACTTCCACCCTCAGTACCTGGTCAACGTGTCGCGCTACTGGCTCAGCCAGGGCGTGCGTGCCAAGCGCATCAGCACCGGCCTCATCCTGGTCTCGGCGGCGCTCGAGCTCTGCCAGGAGGTGCACCTCTTCGGCTTCTGGGCCTTCCCCATGAACCCCTCGGGGCTCTACATCACGCACCACTACTACGACAACGTCAAGCCCCGGCCGGGCTTCCACGCCATGCCCTCTGAGATCTTCAACTTCCTGCACCTGCACAGCCGCGGCATCCTCCGTGTGCACACGGGCACCTGCAGCTGCTGCTGATGGACCGCCTCCCACTCCCCCCTCCTGGCGGGGGCTGGAACTGCAGGCCAGGTAGTGAGAGGACCTTGTGTGGAGGGTGCCCCCAGCCTCAGTGTTCGGCTTCGTGCTGGGGTCCCAGGGGCTCCCCCGGCAGCAAGGGTGGGAGTCGCCAGGGCAGAGGCATTGCTGGACTGCGTTTCCTGGGGCTCCAGCCGTTGGGAGCATGCTGCTGGACGGCACCCTTTTCAGGGGATCCCCGGGGCTGCCCGTGACTAAAGCACATTTCCACCCTCTTTGAGCCATCCTGCGAGCACAACTGTAGCGGCCTGCTCTCCCTGCAGGTGCGGAACGCGGAGACGGGACTTTGGAGCATAGTCAGGCCTGATTTCAGACTTTTCGGGTTCCTGACCTTCCTACTGAGGCCTCAGCCACGTCTTGCTGTCCTGAGTGCTTCCTGGTCAACCCAGAGGCCAGCTCTTTTCTGCAGAACAAGAGGGACTCAGAGCGGCTGGCCTTGGGGGCATAGCTCCAGGCTAAGTTTGGTCCCGGCTGCCATGAATTAGGATCAACTGGCTAGGACACCCACCTTGCCCTGCAGACACTTCCTGGGACACCCCAGTTGCTGTCCTGGTGCCTCCAGGCCCAGTCGGCCTTGGCTGTTTTGATGAGAAGGAAATAAACCATACCAGCCATTTACACCAAGGTTTCCGAGCCCATGGTATCGACTCAATAGGTGCTCAGCAATTTGCTCCCCCTTCTGCCTCCGTGTTTTCAACTCCTGGCTGTAACCAGGAGTTATTTATAAGATCTCTTTCGCTGTACCTTCCCCAACACAGCAGACTCCTGCTATATCCAGTTCCCGCTCCAGCTGCAACGTGCTGGCAGCAGAGGCGGAGCTACAGAAATAGCGCCTCTGGCAATTAGTTTTAAATTACTGAATAATCATGCGCAGCTGGCAAAGGGGACAGGAGCTGCTCAGGGGTGCCGGCCTCCCTCTCCCCGCCGGACACAGTGCCCAGGGCACGTGCTGTACCTGCCATGCCCTAGAATCTAGCGGCTCTCAACCTGTGGGTCACAACCCCGTTGGGGGGGTTGAACGACTCTTTCACAGGGGTCGCCCGATTCATCACAGTAGCAAAATGATAGTGATGAAGTAGCAACGAACATCATTTTATGGTTGGGGGGTCCCCACCACATGAACTGTATGAGAGGGTCGCAGCATTAGGAAGGTTGAGAACCACCGCCCTTGATTCATTCCTTGGGGGGCAGGCACAGTGGTGGGAGTGAGTCGTGGCCTCTGACAGAGCCTCATCGGGGCTTCCACAGTGAAGGGGACACTTCCTGTCACACAGCCTGGTGACCGCACCCATGGACTCCCCAGGCTGGAGCTTCCATGCCTCGGCCGCAAAGGGTGGTCCCGTGGCATTTCATATCCGAACCACTGTGGCGTCTGCCACCTCAATTTGCCGGTACCTCGCAGTAGTTGCTGTTCGTACTATCCGTTCAGATCTGGCTCAGAGGGACCCCGTGTACCACAGGGCAAAACACCACCCGGTCCTGCCCCGTCCTCATCATTGTTGTTTGAGCCCGTTCCTGCAGCCACTGTGTCCATCATCTCTTTGAGGGTCTTCCTCTTGTTCGCTGCCCCTCCACTGTAGCGAGCATGATGTCCTTCTCCAAGGACCGGTCTCTCTTGACTATGTGTCCCAAGTACGTGAGACAAAGTCTCTCCATCCTCGCCTCCGAGGACCCTCCTGGGTGTACTTTCGGTGAGGTTGATTTGGCGACAGAAAGAAAGAAGGCAAAGGTAGAAAACCGTTTCCGGGGTTTATTTCAGAGCTCCCAGGAGGGAAGGGACAGGAGCATCCTGAGCTCGTGGGTGAGGTTCACAGGCCCCCTTTGGGCCTATGAAGTCACACTGTCTAGGTGAGAGGTGGAGAGTTTTGTAGGCCGGGTCTGGGGGCAGGGAGTAGCTGGGGAATTTTCCACTACAACTTTGCTGTCTGCAGGTCCAGCGCTAAGCAACAGCGTTCAGAGTTATCTGTAATGGTTTGTCTGCTGCACCTGGGCCTGAAGGCCACTGAAGCGGGGAGGGGGGGCGGAAGGGGGCCCTTGCCTCTCGTAGTGTCCGTGAAGTGTTTTCACCAGCTCTATCTCCTCCCCCTCCTGCCCTGCTGACTCCCGCTTCTGCCTGACACTTTCCCCACGCTGTTCTGGCTGTCCATGCAGCTGTGCGTCCTCTTGGCCAACACCATGACTCAGCTGCACCCGTTCTTCTCCAGCCTGCCGCACCCACTGTCCAACGTTCCCAGCATCTGAGGTGTCGGAACATACAGTGGCTTGAGTCAGGCACCTTAGTCGTCAAAGGGACATTTATTGTTTTTGGTACTTTAAAGACGTCTTTTGAGGCAGATTTGCCCAGCGCAGCACGCCATTTGATTTCTGACTGCTGCTTCCATGGGCACTCATTGTGGGTCCAGGTACAATGAAATCCTTCACAACACCAGGCTCTTCTCTGCTTACCAGGATGTTGCTTATTGGTCCAGTTGTGTGTGTGTGTGTGGGGTTGTTTCATTTACATTGAGTCGCAAGCCATACTGAAGACTGCCATCTTTGATCATTATCAGCAAGTGTTTCCGGTCCTGCTTTACTTATCATTTTTTTACCAGGCCCTGTTTCAGAAAGCAAGGTGCCACCTGTGTATCGCAGGTGCGCAGTAGACAATTGTTGGGCTGCCTTAGCTCTCAGCTTTGTAGAACCACAGACTGTTAGTGCTGTCACGGTCTTCATCCAGCCGACCTGCCCTTTTCCCTTCTCCCCTCCTTTTCTCCCTTCATTTCTCTCTCTTTAAAAAAAAATCATTTCATCAGGGGTGCATACAGCTCTTATCACAATCCATCCATCCATTGTGTCAAGCACATTTTGTACCTTTGTTGCCATCAACATTTTCAAAACATTTACTTTCTGCTTGAGCCCTTGATATCAGCTCCTCATTTTCCCACCTTCCTCCCTCCCCCACCCTTCCTCCCTCATGAACTCTTGAAAATGTATCAATTGTTATTATTTTTCATGTCTTACACTGACTGATGTCTCCCTTCACTCACTTTTCTGTTGTCTGTCCCCCAGGGAGAGGGTTATAGGTAGAACATTGTAATCGGTCCCCCCTTTCTCCCTCCACCTCCCCCTTACTCTCCTGGTATCGCTACTCTCATTATTGGTCCTGAGGGGTTTATCTGTCCTGCATTCCCTGTGTTTCCAGCTCTTATCTGTACCCGTGTCCATGCTCTGGTCTAGCCGGATTTGTAAGGTAGAAATGGGGTCATGATAGTGAGGGGTGGGGGCAGGGGAGGAAGCATTAAAGAACTAGAGGAAAGTTGTATGTTTGATTGGTGCTATACAGCACCCTGACTGGCTTGTCTCTTCCTTGTGACCCTTTTGTAAGGGGGTGTCCAACTGTCTACAGATGGGCTTTGAGTCCCCACTCTGCATTCCTCCTTATTCACATAGATATGAGTTTTTTGTTCTGGGTCTTTGATGCCTGATGCCTAATCCCATTGACACCTCATGGTCACACAGGCTGGTGTGCTTCTTCTATGTGGACTTTGTTGCTTCTCAGTTAGATGACTGCTTGTTTATCTTTAAGCCTTTAAGATCCCAGACGCTGTATCTTTTGATAGTCAGGCACCATCAGCTTTCTTCACCTCATTTGCTTATGCACCCATTTTGTCTCCAGCAATCGTGTCAGGAAGGTGAGCATCACAGAATGCCAGGTTATTAGAAAAAAGTGTTATTGCACATCTGCTACCTTTAGACCTAACATATGTATTTATCTAGATCTATTTCTGTATTGTTATATCTTATCTAGATAGACATGTAGGGATAATAATAAGCACAAAAACAAGGCAGAGCAAAACCAAACAACAAAAGAAAACCAAAAAGCCAAACAACAACAACAAAACCAACGACAAAAACAGAAAAGTCTATAAAGAGTTCCAGGTCTGTTTGTTGACCTTTAGGAGTGTTTTCCAGTTGAGTCTGATGGGATGCACGTCCTGGCCCCAAAGT